CATTTTAGCTTCAAAATTGCCCTTCTGTGACTTTAAAGCATTTATTTTATCCCGCTCTATATTGCGGTAATGAAGGCGGCCATATCCAACCCCTGGGCAACTTGAAATTAGCGATCCAATTAAGGACGCTACTTCCCGAATTGTAAATGCTTTACCCTTATGACAAAAATGAATACAAAGTTTCGTTATTTTTTCAGCTTTCCTGTCGGTTAGTTTGACAATCATAAGAATAGAATTTAAAACAAAACCTAAAAATTCAATAATTTGTGTAGGCGTAATAATGGACTTCTCTGGATGAATCATAAACCCCAGCGAAATCAGTAATTCAACAGCATGCAGAGTGGCTTTCTCAGCCTCTGTGTAAGTATCCCCCAAATTGAGAGAATCGTCAATGTAACCTAGACATGAATGTCCAAATTTACTACGTAATGTCGCAAACACTGGCTTCAAAATTTTGGTAAATATCCTAGGACTGCTGGTAAGCCCCATAGGAAGACAAGTAAAGGCGTATAATTGATCTCGCCACAAAAATTTTAGATATTTCTGATGCTCAGCTGCGATAGGAACTGAATAATATGCATCCTTGAGATCAATTGACGTCATAAAGCAACAAGGAGTCATAAGTCGTATTGCTGTTTCTAAAGTGTCCATTTTAAAATGATAGTAAGTTACCGACTTATTTAACGATTTCAAATTAAAAATAACGCGATGCGAGCCATCCTTTTTAGGCGTAGTGAAGATAGGAGAAATAAATTGAATACTTTCATTTTGAGAAGGTTTTATAATTTCCTTGTTCAAAAGCTTAGCAATTTCCACATCTATAATCGATTGCTCGGTATGAGTAAAATGACACTGTGGTCTCACTGCACTGATATTAGCAAAAGGCTCAGTCTCAAAATCAATATGACAATGAGAAATTACATCCAAGATAAATTGATCAGATGTTAATCTTTTCCACACATCGTAAAATTTTCTCAACCGGCCACCTGTAAATGTGGCTTGATTTTGAATTAAATTACTAATCGACTTTTGTATACATTGATGACTTACCTGATTTTCTACTTCTGGGACTGTCTCTGACTGTTCCGCTGATAATTTCGGGATTGCCCTCGGCCGAACCCTAAAAAAGCACCTCTCGAGCCACGACCCCGGTAGTTATTCGAACGAGAAGGTACATAGGTTGAGGCGCGCCCAACTGGTCGACGATACGGTTCCATACGTTGACTAGGCGTAACTTTCTTTGTGAGCTTGCTAGCTTTTGAAAGATCTTCCATCTCCTTATTTAGGTCATCCCCAAAAAGATATTGTGACACTGGAGTAGATGGATTACATAAAGCAGCGTACTGTTTATTCAAATCCGAGCGAAGTAAATCTCGCCGTTTTAAATTTAATTCTCGATTTGCTGCTAGTGAAAGCACTATTGAATGTGTAAGCATAATTACACTATCCTCAATATTCTGCTTGCTGGAAAGGTTATTACAAACCTGCAAGACGGCATACAGCGAAGACAATGCCAATTGTTGAATTTTTTGAAATGTAGAATCGGTATTCTTAGTCTCCTGTTTAAGCTGTTGCCATATGGGTTTATTAATTTTTGGTGCGACTAAATTCTCGCAATTTTCTGGCTTTAAATACTTATCTTGAACTGGTTCAAGCTTCTCTTTTGTTAACTTCTCAGTCAACAATTCGTTGACGATTGTGGCAAGATCATGGTCAATTGCCGGTCCTGTTTGCTCACCCGGAGCGAACTGTTCTACAAAGGTTTTAAAAACTGTATTCTCGCTCAAATCTGTTTGCGAGTGTGAACCCTTGTCTTTGGCAAAGTTTGCGATTTTATCAACGAGATTATCCTCGCTGTGTTCTGGCAATGGGCCAGCTTCAGGGGCACTAACACTGTCGTCCTGAACTTCTTGATCTGCCGCTTGCTCAAAATCTTGATAAACCTGAGATATCGACGCATTAACGTGACTTAAAAGTTCAGTCTTAAAACTGGACATCATCTCAGTCATAGCCGCTTTAATGTCAGCTAAATCGTTCTTGATCGTAGGTGAAGTGATCTCGTCACTACCCCTAGCTTGTTTGGAAGCAGATTTAGTCCCAGTTATGTGGCAATCTTTGTCGCACATGTTTAATTTAACGCTGTAAACAACAATACAGAAGTCTGATTATGCACAATTCACTGCACAATTATATTATAGGCCAAGACACGTCTTGGCCAAACATATATTTGTTATATCAAATATAAATGTAGTAAACCTGTATTAGTGCCGTGACACGTCACCAAGACACTATCTCAACAAACTTTTGTGGAAACTCGTCCAAAAAAGTAGGAAAATTGATCTTCGAATATAAATCAATACTTACCGTAAACGCGTGAATTGACAAGAAAATCAAATCAAGCAGACAACAAGCGAAGATGAAAAAACACGTCCTAACACCACGACAATAACAAATGCACTGACCCACGACGGTGCGTGCGCATCTCATGGTAACCCGGATGTGCTTAATGATTTGGTAGAACTGGCCTCTGTAGCTCAGTTGGTTATAGCGGTGCACCGGAATATGCACCCTTTCGATAATTACGTCACAACTACATTGTTTGCAACTTAGGACCACCTTAAATGGAAAGGATTTCAAGTTTTTTCTCATGGATTATGCACAGAGAAGCAGAACATCCTTCAACGCATGCATAAAAAAAGGATTTCGACCAATTAATGTGGAAATAAGCTTTAACACGAAAACGATTTTCCAGGTCATGATCTGGTTTTCGTTTTCGTGTTAATATTAGATTATTTCCATATTTGTGCATAGCCAATAGGAAAAAAAACATGAAATCTTTTCCATTTAAGGTGGTCCTACAGTAAGTTGAAAACAGTGTAGTTGTGACGTAATTATCGAAAGGGCGTATTGCAGAGGGCATATAGTTGCATTTTTCGCAAAGTTTGCTTCTGAGCAATACTGAGCCATGTAGGTATAATCCGGAGAGAGTTCTCCAGTAGTGAAAAAACACACAGTATAACTACCGAATAAATCCTGAGATTTTACACCAAATGGAATTTAATGGCAGTTGCGAATGGGATCTACCTTCACAAAATATATTCTTCCATTGATTTCTAGAATTTTATACATAGAAACGCCATAACCATTTGTGTAGTGATAAAATAGGATTTGTGTTGTAATATAAAGACCGGTTTATACTTGCAATTTTTGCTGCGATTTCTAGTGCGATGTTCTTCTGATGGATGTGAATTAGACTTGCTCCAAGTCTCTCTTTGTGGACATCTATATATTGTACATCTATATTGTACGTTACATGACGTACCGCTGAGGGGGAGAGGAGGAAAGAGAAGAGAGACTTGTAACATCTGGCAAGCAGACATACTTCCGGCTGGTCAATTTCGACCAGCCGGAAGTAGATGGCTGCATTGACTTATCGCGTGTTTAGGGGGGGAAGGCGACATCTGGACTTTCAGAGTTATTTGTTTAACATGAGTAATTTTGTATTCACGAGATTTCTTGTAGATTTCACATCACTTTTGACTGCGTGCATTTGGAATTTTGGGCATTATTTTTGCAATTTATTGTAAACAACGATTATAAGAAGAACGGCTAAATTACAAATCAGCCGTAATCGTCATAAACCTCGATGACCACCAGTGTTTTTGTGTTTGACAATTTGTATTTCATTAGATATTTATATGCAAGGTCAGTATGTTTACGGGTTATCATATAAAATGATCATCCTAATGAATGAATTGATAAAACGAATTATTTCTAATACGTACGGCCGTTTTTACACGGCCACTACTGAAACGTTTAGCTTGATTGTTGAATAAATCGATGACTTGCTTAGTTGCTTTCTGTTTTGAGCTTAACCACCGTTTAATAAGCTAAACGGGCTTGATACAACTGGCCCCAGGTAAACATTTTTGTATTATCGAGATCGAAACTATAGTAAATTGGAAACCGTGTCAATAATAAAAAACGTACAATGAGCTTATGAACATGCGAAAATTGTCACGCCCAAAATTTATACAAATGTTTAACAAAATAAACATTTGTATAAATTTTGGGCGTGACAATTTTCGCATGTTCATAAGCTCATTGTACGTTTTTTATTATTGACACGGTTTCCAATAGACACTTCCCGAATTTGCTTGAGTGCACACGAAACAATAGCTTGGAATCGAGGCGGACAATGTAATCATTGTAAATAACTACATGATT